AAGAATTTGCAAGAGAGCTTCAAGTAATCTTAGATCAGCTCGTTGTCAACTGCATTGTGTTCCTATGCAGGATGCTCATTCCCCTTTTGATGTCTCTGCAGATGTTTCAGGCTTTACATTAAAAAAAAAAAGTATTTATAAGGACACATTACCTCACCTGAGAGGGTGTCATTGTGCTGTATTCTTTACATACAGTAAAATTGCTTCTCTGTTCCTCCTACAAGCTTAGCATCCCAATGATCAAGACAGATAAAGCTTTGGAAGTGAGAGGTCCGAGGTCACCTCTGCAGGAAAGCAGCAGAGCACATCTCCCATCCTGTGGGCAGGTGACAGTCTGCCTGGCTCTTTCAAAACAGTTTTGACAGGAGGACATTTCGCAAATCTGAGAAGCAGGCTCTGCCCATTTCCATGCTTGCAGGAAGGGTGTCTTCAAGTGAGGAAGCTTGATTACAAAGTCTGCTGAGTATGCAAGGGAAAGAATGAAATATTGCACTTGCCACCATCCTGATTTTTGTTCTTCTCTTCCATTATCTAAAGGAAATATGGTATGATCTTTGTTCCAGTCATTGCAAACAGTTTTCAAACATGGTTTGAAAGAGAAGATGTGTGGGATGGGACCAGGAGTTTTTCTTTTGTGTGTCTGTGTGTGCACATGACTGTGAAATATCTGATTTTGCAAAATCATTACATGCATAAAGTTAAATCTTTCAGCAAGCATTCACACATTGCAGGCTGGGGGTTACTGGTCACTTGCCACAGAAAATAAATCTTTCAAGGTCCTGCAGAAACCATCCTCTGGAGTTCCTTTCATCTCATAAGGCATTTTGCTAAGCCATGCTACCCCCCAACTCATGAGGATGGATAAGGCTGAGGAAAGAGCTGCAGCTTGGTGAGAAAGAGGAGCTGAGATCCTCCCTACCTCATGGTATAGAGAGCACATCAATGCCAGGAGCTGCACGTGAAGAATGAGAGATCCCTGCATGTTGCCATGGAGCCCTTCTGCCTGGACCTCAGGCATGCTGTAACATACGATCCCTCTCTTTGGCCCTGCTGTAGGCAGCCCTGGTTAAGTCCTGACAGCATTACTGTGCTCAGTAATCAGTGCTGCCCCCATAAAACAGCTTGGTGAGTTTCAGCAGAGCCATCTCTGGGGCTTGCACACCCTCAGTCTCTGCTTTCTTCCATCCTCACAAACCTGCACCACCACAGGGCTGAACATACTGAGGAAAGCTCTTAACAAAAAAAAAAAAAAAAAAAGACAAAAAAAAAGGCAAAAAAAAAATCCTAGTAGATAGACATGATTATTATTATTTTTTTTTAATAATTTGTTTATTTGCCAATTCTGCTTCACCCGGCTTCCCTCTCATGGTGCCTGTAACTTGACTTTATGAACTTTCTTATTAAATCAAGGGCTTCTGGACATTAGGTGGTGGAGTGGAGGAAGAGCCACACACGTTTTCAAGGAAAATTAATACTGATAAGGTGCTGGCCACTGTCTGTCCTGTTATTGTTAGAATGCACATTTTTCCCCCTAGAGTGTAGAGCACCTTCTGATGGAGTGCTCCTTGTGTTGAAAAATGGCAAGCATTAAAGACTCCGTGCCACTTCATTGCTAAAATGTTTACTAGAGCAGGCTTGCTTCCTCCATCTGAAAGTGTGGTGTATTTATAGGAGCATCCTGTAATGGAGCATCCTGCACGCAGCAGTGTTCTGAAGAATAAGGGAAGACTCTGTGTGAAGGGGTGGGCTTGGGGTTGTCCCCTCTGTTGTCCCCTCTGTTAGCAGGTGCTGGCAGCACGCAGGGGGCTGCAGGAGCTGACTGACTGCAGCAGATACCCTCTGGAATGTGGAGTCTGTGAAGCCCCTGCAGGGGATGGGAAAGGCTCACAGGGCTGAGGAATTTGAGTTCTGGGACCTCTGCGTGAAATTGCCAGGAAGGATCAACTCTGAGCTTTAAAAGGGGGATGTTTAGGTGTTTTTCTGTTGTTGTTAAAATGTCAGATCACAGGGCTGCATGCCCGTGTAAACAGTGCAGGTCAGACCCTCAGCTGATGTGCAGTGGCAGTGTGCTCCCTGTAGCAGCTGGGAATCCTGGACTGTGGGCATGGGAAGGTTCCTGCCCTGCTCCGTGGCTGTGGGTGCTGGAAACAGCAGGAACAATTGGAGATGGAGGTCACTGAAATGACAAGAGCAGCTCCTGTGATCTGGTGTTGTCAGCACAAACACAGCAATTGATTGAAAAGTGTCTGCTAACCAGGCAGCAAAGAGAGCAATTAGAACTGAAATAGCAAGAGGGTCTATTTCAGAGTTTTATGATTCCAGCTTGCACCACCCCACTAATTTTAAGTGCTGATGATTTTTTTTCTGTCTGGGCTGGAGTCAGCTGGGGACCAAGAGCCATCTGGGGCTGAACGAAATTCAGAGTTTCTCAGAGCTTCTGCTGTTTGGAGTGTGACATAAACACACCCTGAAATTGAAATACAGTCCTCAGATCTACCTTGGGGATTGGCAAGGATCACTGCAGATCCTGGCAATGGAAACCATGAGGTCTGTTGGAGCCAGGAGGTCTCAGAGGTATATGGTGGAGTTTTCCCAGCTGGAAGCCTGTGCCAAGGCTCAAGCTGGACAACATTTTAGGGAGGTGTGTGAGTGATACTGGAAACCAGACACCTTGTTAAGGTCCACAGGATGTATGGGGACTCTGGGCAGCTTGCTAATGTTGAAGATCAGATGCCTGAGCTCTGAGTGAGGTAAAGACTTTTAGGGAGTCAAGGAGGCTTTCTGGTTGTCCTGATCTCCTAGAAATGTCAAATTTGAGAAAAGAGTAGACCTAGTGCTCTGCTGGAGGAAAAGTGCTTGGGGATAAGTAAGGAAGGTGAGCAGGGTCAGGTTAATGGGTGCACCATTTGGAGACAGGGCAAAAGTGACTTATCACCTGAATGGAAGGAAATGGTGTCTACAAAAGAGAGTTCCTTGCAGGCAGCTTTTTTTTGTTGTCTGTGCTGAAGTCTGGTGTTTGAGGAAGAGCAAACAGACCCCAGGCATGGGTGAATTCCACTGGTGTGAGGCTCTGTGGCTTGGAGCACCACTGATCACACTGCTCAGCACATGGATCGAGTCTGAGTCAGAACTTTCCACAAAGTGTTCAGTGAGGAACACTCTGATCTCTTAATAAATATTAGCAGTACAGTAACAGCAGTGCAGCGCAATGTTCAACAGTCAATTACTTGAAGGGCTGCTTTATCAAGTAAGAATGTGTAAAAGATTTTCTTGGATTCTTGTGTCATTGCTTAGGCTGGAATGGTTGCTGCAAGAATCACCGTGTTAACCCTGGATGTATTCCAAGCTGAGTAAAAGTAATTTTTAACCATCTACATTGAGGGTTGAGTTTGCTGAATGCAAATCTACACAGTGCAAATGCAACATTAAAAATGGTGTGTGCCCATGGCATTGAAATCTGTGTTGACTTTATGGGGAAACAGAGCACCTCAGGTAATGGGATGATGAACAGAACTACCTCTCCATGTTCTTTCATTACCCCCTCATCCCACCCAGAGCTGCTAAAAGGTAAAACTCTGCACCATTTATTCCTGTTGTGAACGGCTGCTGTAGTCTAAGAAAGGAACTGAAATCCTCTCCCCACTCAGCTGAATGTGCCATTCTTCTGAAAACCAGCCCAAGTTCACTCCAGAGGTGTCTGCCTCTCCCAGTCAGGTGAAGGAGTAATTGTGCTATTTAGTTTGCACGAAGGTGGCAGAAAGCAGACGTGGATTTGAGCGCTGCTGTCTCACACTGAGCAGCATGAGAAGCCTTTTTTGAGAATCCTGGTTGCAACTGCGAGGAGTTGCTGGTAGCCCCAGCCACTGCTTGCTGTGAGCAGAGGTGACTTCTGTGCCCCTCCTGTTGCCAAGTGTTTTGGTGCTGACTGCAAGCAGTTATCACTATTTTCCTGCTGTTGTTGCAGCCGTTTTTTTGCTTGGCTCCAGCAGTCGTTTCTAACTAGCTGACAGGTTTGGAGGGCCCTGGAGGCGTAGTGCAGTGCTGTTGCAACAGAATTCTAGATGCCTGTTTGAAACTAACCAAGCCAGCATCAGGATTAAATTCCTTGTGCAGAAGTCATTACCATGGAGGAGCGCCGTTGTGGCGAAAGCATTTCAGGCTTCAAGGAAAGATCACATATAAATGTTCTTCAGTGATGCACAAATAGGTAGACAACACCACCTCAGAACACCCAGTTCTTGAGTGGGCACATGAGGAGCTTGCTTTTCCTGGCTTATTCTACATCATGAGGAAAAAAAAAAAAAGGAGATCAGGTCATTTTATTCTGGAAAGCATTTTTCCTGTCTCTTTGGCTGTCACATGTATTTAACTTTAGTGCCCTCAAGGACAATGTGGTGGATCAGCATGCTAAGGTCTACAGTCTACAGCCTGTAGTTTTTCATTTCACATTGCTTTAAGAATGGTCCTCTTTGTTTCCATTTTGAGCCACGGCTGAATTCTTACATGTTGTCTGATCTTCAGGCTCAAATACCCAAGAGAATAGGCAGCTGTGAATCAACCCTCTGTGTGCTTTCTAGCAGGTAGTCTAGCAAAGAAGGCAGTATGCTTCTTATTTCTTTAAATTGATAGGGATTTGAAGGAAAAGACTTTAATAAAAGTCTCATGAATGATTATTTTCTTCCTGCTGACGATTCTGAATTGCATGCAGAAATATAAGAACCTTTTAAGAGAGCCCTGTGGGTTTAAACCCAATTCTTTAGATTTATAATTAAAGCTCATTGTCTTTATGCTATCCTACACCTTATGAGAAGGATCACCTTTCTAATTACACAGAACCAGGAGGTCTGTCACATGCTTTTACTCAGTATTATGGTACACAGTTGCTCTATTTTTTTTTCCTTCTCCTTCTCCTTCTTCCAGAGATTCAATATTATGTTTTGCAAATTCAACATAATGATTTTCTTTTTTTCTTTTTTTTTTTTTTTTGTTTTTGAGGCCAGATGTTTCACTCTGCTATGTTAAGTCATATTGACATACTGCCATGAAGTGGAAGCAACTGCTACTTTTAACATTGCTCCATATCTTTATTAAAAGGTATGTCTCATGCATCTTAATTCCCCACATACATGCTACCTTCCTCCCTCTCCTCCCCTCTCCCCCACCACCCTTCTTTCCTTCCTTGCCTAGAGAAGGGAGGAATATTAAAATTTCCTTGCTGTTCTGTCTGAGTGGTTAATGAGGTTCTAGGTAGCGTGATGAATATGCAGCGCCATCGATTCTGCGCGCGCTGCCTCTGTGTGTGTGTGTGTGTGTGTGTGTGTGTGTGTGTGCGTGTGTGCGTGCCTTTAATCACAGCTGGAATGCAAAATCAGGCCCCACCTTTCAACTCTATCTCCATCATGCTGAGAGAGTGAGAGAGAGCGAGACTGAGACTGCTAGACAGCTCGAAAGAGATTGCAGCTCAGATGTCCTGGAAAACAGCAAATCCCTCAGACCTGGCAGATTCCGTTACCATGAGAACTGCAGATATTTCCATTGTGATGGCTTGCTCTAGCAGCCATCTGTTACACCCATTTGATTAGGAAGTACAGTTCAGCTTGTATGGGATTTTCACTGCACCTTATCCCATGGCAGCGCACAGAAACTCTCTCTCTCTCTCTTTTTATATGCTAAACTCAATGTTTTTAAAGTGCTGTAATTTACTGAGGCTGAAGGCATTTAATGAAATGCTGGGAGGAGGTCACTGAGGGACAGTATCTCTGAGAAGAAAGAAGCACATGAGATATGTGAAGGGGATTAGCATCCAGTATATAAATAAGATCAACCCAGAAATTAGCTGTATTTAGCAATTCCTCATCCTTGCCAGGGAGAGGAGCTTGATATACAGACCTCATGAAGCCATAATAAAATTAGTAATTGCCTCCTGTTAGTTAATCCCACTCTATATATATTTATTGTATGCCTGCAATAAATGCATGCAGCAGATATATTTCAGGTCTTCTGTAAAAAAGGGGAAGGTGATGACTCTCCCCAGATGCCTGAAGTGGTGCAGTGGCTGCACTGTGTAACGATTAGATTAGCTCTAAAAATTTAATGGTGCCATTTGACTTTTCATAGACGCAGAACAACCTTAAACTTTCTTGAAGGTTTTCTGTGATTTACTGATTAAAACAATTGTTTGGAGTAGTGGAGTCCCTCGGTGTAAATTAGTGGTGGAGGAAATGGTAATGGCACATCAAATGGATATAAAAACAAAGGAGTCCCCTTCAATTAAAACTCTCCAGACATTCTTCCTAAGTGGCTGGCATTCCAGATTCAGGGTAATCTTATGTGTGGCATAGTTGCCTCGAGTATCTTAAAATGACTGAAGGTCTTGTAAACTCAGTGAAGCTAATTAAATGCTCACACACTGAAATGAATTTCTGATTGCTGCTAAGGAGGCATTGAGGTCAGCTCCTCTTTTCATTGCCCACACTTTATGGCCAATGCCAGATACTAAATAAATCAGATCCTCAGAATCAGGGGCTCTGTGGTTTTGTTCCTCTTATATATTCTCCCACCCGGCTGAACATAATTCCTTATCCGTCTTCATCTCGGCATGAAAAGTTTTCTCTCCTATTGTTTTTCCTCACATAGCACCAGATTACCATGGAGAAGACTATGATATCATAAGAAATGAATGAGCATGTTTCTCACCATGGGTGAAATATACATTCCAGACCTAATAAAGTCAGGAATCATGTAATGGGCCTGGTAAAAATGAGCTGCTTAGTTAGTGCAAATAGAAATGGTTCTCCTTTAGATCTCTGCTTCAGCAAAATAAGTTCTTAGGCACATGGAGACACATAAGAACATGTTTAAGAGCTTTTCTGAAGAGGGATTGTTCTTAAAATGTTTTACTGCATCTGAACCCACAATTTTTTTTTTAAAGTAAAATTTCTACTCTTTTTAATAATAATAAAAGATTTTCTTGTTGATCATGTTTGCAGCAAATTAGAACTTTCACTTCTTGCAGCCTCCCATCTCACATAATCCTGGAGGCTGAGCTAGAGAGAAGAGAGTCCTTTTTTTTTTTTTCCTTCAGACAGGGCACTTGTTTTATGAATGTGGTATCTGCCTTTGACAGGCAGCAGATGTATGGGAGCCCTGAAATCTGAAACAATAAATACCATTCAGAGTCTCACCACTGAACCTTCTTATAGTACTGCCTTTGTTAAATGAAACATTTACAGGAATACCATCCCCCCCTTCCCACCCACCTTCAAGGCTAGGATCTGAACCATGTTTTTAAAGTAAAGGTTAAGTACCTGAGGCATGAACAGTTGACATACAAAAGAAACTAAAGTAAATTTATCATTCGTTTGCCAGCCACGAGGTGTGTCGAGGGCTTTTTCTTTCTCTTTGTAATGCATGAGAAAACAAACCTGGGAAGCCTATGCAAGGAATATTTCTTTTCTACACTGGAATGTTAACATTTGCACCTTCTGACTTAATACTGTGTATTTCTTCAGAGTCATCAATCTCTTGAGAGTCATCTTGCCATCTGTACCAGCATTGCTCCAGGCTTCCATATGAAAGTCCAATCTGGCGGTATAAATACTGGATAATGAAGAGTAGGTGTTAAAGTTTCTGACTGGTTGGAAGATGAGTCTGTGTCTATGAAAGATCCGAATCCATGTGTTAAACAAACAAACAGAATCTATGTTAACATGGAAGTTCAACCACAAAGAGCATGATGCATGTTTGTTCTCATACCCTCTCCCACTCTCTGTGTTTTTTCCTCAATTTTTTTCCTCTATCTTCCTTATTTTTATAGAGTTCACCCATTTTCTGTGAGAAAAATGTTCTCTGACCACAGCATTGCACTATGGAGATTACAAATAGGGGCAGCATGTTGACTTCCTATAATGTAAGGTTCCTTTTTCTCCCCCTCTCCTTTTGCTCCAGGAAAGCTATAACTACATAGATTAGCAAAACTTTTGCAGGAATGGATGTAAAACAGATTTATCTCAGTGTCAGCTTTATCTGATCCATTTGGTCTTGCAGAGTTTGGATGGTTTCCTTTGTTACAATAACCAGCTTTCAAACATCTATATCCTTAGGGTATTAAATGTCAGCCTCTAGTGTATCGTTCAAGGATAAAAGATTGACAATACTGAAGTACTTTTTTTCCTTCTTTTTTTTTCTTTTCCTCTTCTCCAGCACTGGCAGAGTCTTTACTCTGCACACCACTGCTGACCCCAGAAGTGACCCACAGGAACTACTGGCAAAAGGAGTGAAAAGGTATTTCAGCTTGTAGGCATTAGAAACTCTCTTCATTAATAGCCCTTTTGCAGACTTTTCAGATAGATTTCCTGTCATTGTGATGAGGATATATTTGTAACGAGTCCCTTAAGTAAATGGCCAGTGGATAATTAATTGAACTAACTAGGACTTTCCATACTGTATTTTTTTATCTTATTTCCTTTTCTTTTTCTTTTCTTTTCTTTCCTTTTTTTTTTTCTTTTTTTTTTTTTTTTTTTTTTTTTGAGATGGAGAGGACGGAAGACTTCCAGAAGGTCTCATGTACTGGGTGGTACAGCCCTTTTCTACCTGTCAGCCAAGCATTTCAGCCCTAATTCAAATAAAACTCTTAGGCATTCTGTTGGGAGAGGTAGAATTTTTTGTTTTGGTTGGCATCAGGTTGACTGCGCTTCTCTGGGCAAGGGGGTGACCACCCTGAGTCTCATCACTGAAAAAGTGTGGCAAAACCTGATCTTGCTGGAAGAGGCAGCTCAGAAAACAACATTTGGGTCAGTACTGATATCCACACTGTTGATTATATGACCATAATTTTGGTTCTAATTCACTTTGTCATTCCCATCATACAGATTCCAGTCTCCTAAATATGTGGCACCAGTGGAAATCTACAGTGAAGCAAAATTAGTCTTAATATTGTATTTCATTCTTAGATTGCCTTCTTAGCACTGACCTTCAGCCTCTTTAATTAAAAGTTTGCAAACATGCATTCCTTAAGTAATTTCTGACCTTCACAGCTGGTTATGAGGCAGCTGTAGTTGAAATTTTTGAGCAAAGTCTCTTTCCCTCTCTCAGGGGCCTCCACTTTTTCAGTTTTGGAAATGACTTATTAACTTTGCAGCCATTGGGACAACTCTCCAAAGAAATGAAGTTTCTTGATGAACATGCACAATTTTTCTCTGCACATCAAAGAGTTCAGATTTTCACTCCACTTGTCAGAGACTACTGATAATTACTTTTATTAACCATCTCACAAATAACAAATGTGTGAGGTCAAAAAAAGTCTCATTTGAACTTTATGGTTTCATGTGTGAAAAAAGAAATGCTACTAAGAGTAACTACGAGTGTTGGGTAAGGAGCCATAATTTTCTCAGTAAAAGAGAGCCCATTAAGAAGACAAAGATATTGGGGTGCTGCTCAAGTGCTCCTGAGATTTTGTTCTGATAATTATTTGCAGGTGTGTTTAAAACTACTTGTCTCTGTATGCTGCTTTGAGGAATAAAGGTGCTTTGCTACATCTTTCATTATTTTCCGTTAAAAAGGGTATGCCACATTAAAGGTCTCATTTCAGGCAACTTGGTCAGACTTACAGGGTTTGGTTTTGTTTTTGTCCTCACAGTGTTGGACATAAAACAGAAAAAAAAGTGAGATAATCCTAATCTCACTTGTGCCACTGTAAATCAGGGTGAGTTTTGCTGAAACCAGTGGAATCATCCCACTGTTTTAAGCAAACTAAGGAAAGCCAGGTATTTGAGTGCTGTACCAGTGCTTCCTTCTATTTGGCAATTGTGATCTGCTCTGGACCAAGCTAACAAGACGCACAACAAAACAACAAAAACAAAAAAAAAAAACAAAAAAA